GAAAAGTCAAAAAACACGGATACCGTAGGAATGCTTTGGGTGTACCAAACGTCACAACGTAACTGGGTGGCTATAAAGGTGCACTACAGGTATCTCCGAAAGTGTCTGTTGGGTTGGCACGAATCGAGACTGGGATTTTTCACTCCGGTAAACGGAGAGGTATCTCTGGGCCCACTCGGTAGGACATCATCATAATGTGCACAATGTGCCCAAGGGGTTGATCACGGGATGATGTGTTACGGAACGAGTAAAGAGACTTGCCGGTAACGAGATTGAACAAGGTATCGGCATACCGATGATCGAATCTCGGGCAAGTACAATACCGCTAGATAAAGGGAATTGTATACGGGGTCGATTGAGTCCTTGACATCGTGGTTCATCCGATGAGATCATCGTGGAACATGTGAGAGACAACATGGGTATCTAGATCCCACTGTTGGTTATTGACCGGAGAACGTCTCGGTCATGTCTACATGTCTCCCAAACCCGTAAGGTTTACACACTTAAGGTTCGATGACGCTAGGGTTATAAAGGAAGTTTGTATGTGGTTACCGAATGTTGTTCGGAGTCCCGGATGAGATCCCGAACGTCACGAGGAGTTCCGGAATGGTCCGGAGGTAAAGATTTATATATGGAAAGTCATGTTTTGGTCACCGGAAAAGTTTCGGGTTTTATCGGTAACGTACCGGGACCACCAGGAGGGTCCCGGGGGTCCACCAAGTGGGGCCACCATCCCCGGAGGGCTGCATGGGCCAAGTGTGGGAGGGGACCAGCCCCAGGTGGGCTGGTGCGCCCCCCCCCCCACAAGGCCCAAGGCGCAAAGAAGAGTGGGAGGGCCCTAGAGCAGATGGGCCCTAAGGCCCACCCCAGGTGCGCCTCCCCTCTCTCCCCTTCTGGCCGCCACCCAGATGGGATCTGGGGGCTGCCGCTACCCCTGGGGAGGGAACCCTAGAGGGGGCGCAGCCCCCTCCCCTCCCCCTATATATAGTTGAGGTCTAGGGGCTGCCCAACACATGAGTTTCTCTCCCTCTTGGTGCAGCCCTACCTCTCTCCCTCCTCCTCTCCCGCGGTGCTTGGCGAAGCCCTGCAGGATCACCACGCTCCTCCATCACCACCACGCCATTGTGCTGCTGCTGGATGGAGTCTTCCTCAACCTCTCCCTCTCTCCTTGCTGGATCAAGGCATGGGAGACGTCACCGGGCTGTACGTGTGTTGAACGCGGAGGTGCCGTCCGTTCGGCACTAGGATCTCCGGTGATTTGGATCACGGCGAGTACGACTCCTTCAACCCCGTTCTCTTGAACGCTTCCGCTTAGCAATCTACAAGGGTATGTAGATGCACTCTCCTTCTCCTCGTTGCTAGTCTCTCCATAGATAGATCTTGGTGACTCATAGGAAAATTTTGAATTTCTGCTACATTCCCCAACAACATCGCCACCGCCACACAGCTCCAACCAAGACGACGAATCTAACAAGAACGAGAACGAGAACGAGGTCCCTCCCATCGGCGGGGGGCCGAGATCCTGTGCACCTCCATGGGGCCGAGATCCTCCGCGCGCATGTATGTGGAGGAGAAGAGATTTTTCTTGTAATCTTATTATATCATATTATTCATGTTCTCCAAGGCAAAGAGCCGTAATCTTATTATTTCGAGCTATATCCCTTTTTAATTTAGTCACTTCCCATTTTGTAAGGGATTGTTCCACAATACTTTTAGATTCTTTCGACACTAAAGTGTTGCCAAAATTATGCAATTGCGTAGGGGACGCATTATATGCTACAATATTATATGATGGCATGTGCACTTCAGCAAAAATTTCACTTATTCGGCTATGACTGTGAAGGTGTGGAGCCAAATTATGAGCATCTACAGTTGTATACGGTGCCGAATAATTACTAACATCATAATAGCATTTTTGTTGTTCCATCGAGTGCATGATATATCTTGAATGGCAACCTTGCAATGCTTGCTTCCGTTGCATATCCCGTTGATAGTTGCATTGTTCATGACTCTATCCTTGTTTAGAGTCGTGTTGGTGGGTTGTAGAAATATGCTATGGTAGTTGACTACGCAAAATGGGGTAGGGTTATGCATGGAAAGGAACAAGTGTGGTTTGACATACTTGCAAATAACCCCAGTGGGTGCCACTAATGCCCTTGGGAGATGATGATGAACTAGGTCACTACTTGGTGAAGAAGTAGCATACCGAGGTTTGATGAATGTGTTGTTTACAGAGGCGGACTAGATTTGAGATTGTCGACCGTCCCAACCAAAGATGCGCAACCACTCTACCCTTATATGGGAAAGAGAATTATTGATTACCTAGTTCGTGCTAGCATGGATGCCCGCATTACTAGTGACGGGAGTGGCGTGGTCATTCTCGGGAACGGGCCGTGCTTGGATAGGCGGCCATGACTGTTTTTACAGGGCACCGGACACACCGTTGGTACCCGTGCTTGTGTTATGTGATGAATATGGGAGCGTGGCTCCACAAAAAAAAATACGATGTGACAATGTTTGGCACGGGGGCTGCTACCAATCGAGTGGACTCTATGTTAGTCACGGTAGGGAAAGGTAATGATCGGGTGCTTACGCCGGGTACTTGAGGTATTGCGAGTCGTGGATGACACGGAAGTTCCCCGGATCTTGTGGGTATGCAACCTCTGCAGAGTGTCAACATCCGCCGAGTGAGATTCGTTCACATGTCTTACTAATGTCTGATGTCGGACATTATGACAGTCCATATTTGATTCTAAATGTAATTATTTTGAATATCATTTACATACATTTAATAAAAAATTTTAAAAAGTTAACACGTATTAAATGGTCCACTGGCCGGAGCCCATTTAAACACGAGAAGTCTATATCTTTATACTACTTCAGAAGACCGTAAAGTTTGCATTTCATCTCTCTTTTGTCCAACCTTCCTTATATACGTCTCACTTTTTCCTTCACTTTGATTTTTCTCTCTCATATTTAATTTTTCTCCCAACAATTGTCCCTAACATAGAATCAATTGTCTCATGTTTTATTAACTTACCAAAATGAAAATACTTTTTCTTTGGTAAGTAATTTTTTATCAAATAAGTGCTTATAAAAATAAAATGGCAGGTAAATCATGGCGATTGTGTAACAAAAACTTTTTAAGATTTTAGCGCATCAATATAATAATAGACGTGCGGCCAAGGACTAATCTATTATAATATTTATACTTCTGTTTGAACGCACGGGCATTTTCTAGTATCAGTCATAAATACATACATAAAGCATGAGGGTCATCTAGCTTTATCATTGAAACCTCTTTGTCGGGGTGGCAAGAGCGTGCGTACTCAAAGTAACAGGTTGCCCGCCGGTTCGAATTTTGTCAAGAACGATTTTTAATCTAAATTTTCCTTATGGACTGACAGGCGGGACCCATTAGTCATATATATAATGTTAAAATAATAATATTTCGTCATTACAAAGTGGACCCGTGCCACATCGGTCAAATATGGCGCCGTGTCAGCATATATACGTCTACGGATGTGTGCAGCACCACATTTGCACGCGCCAGCCAAGTTTTAGAAGCAGTTGGATGTATTTTTCAATCAAACATTAAAGTAACACATCCATGGCAAGTTCAAGCACCGACTAGCGGTGTAATGACTTCTCTCCGTATAAGGCCCTGTTTGTTTGAGCTTTTGTTTCTGATTTTGCAGCAGTTTTTATTTTGGCCAAAAAACCATCAAAGCTCCTAAATATGTGATTTTAGAGCTTTTGTAGCTGAATATTGTTATATCGATTTATTGAAATCCAAAAAAGGTCTAGAAGCATCTTTTAGGGCTTTTTGCCCAATGAAAAAAAGCTGCGAAAGCAGAAGCAAAAATCGAAACAACCCGGCCTTAAACCAGTACGCATTTGCAGAGAAGGGAAGCTCTGGCGTGAGAATTGTCTGATAGACACGCGTGACGTGGCGGGAGGCTAGCCAGGAAGGAAGAGGACAAGGCTGCGTGGCACACGTGGATAGCCAGCTCCAAAACTTGATCTCGATATATATCAAATCAAAAGGTAAATAAAAAGGAGAGAGATATCGCCACGCCGAGCACATGGAACGAGACTTGCCTGCTCCCTCCGTGTGCGTCCATCCATGCTCCCGCATACGTGACTTGATTTGATTGGAACAAAATAAAGGTTGGTCCCACCCCCTTAAAATCAGGGGGAACATGATTAGCTTAGAAAAGAAAAAGAAAAAAAAACAGCCGTAGAATGAAGTGGGAGCACGGATGGAAGCATGGGGAGGAAGCATGCACATGGGAAACCATAGGCTGGCTGGCGTACGTACGAGAGAAGAGAAAACCCTACATGCATGAGTGAAAAACAAAACAAAACGGAACAAAACCAAACTCAGTTTTGCTAAGCCTCAGTCGACCGAGACTTCGTTATGTCTCCGTCGATGCTATATTCGTTTGATCTTGCATATAACATAGAGATTCGCACACAGCTTTTTCCAGCAATTTCTTTTTTTTTTCTTTTACTGTAACACTTGACTGAGACTTGGTTAAGCCTGAATGGACTGAGGTAGCTACACCCAACCAAAATTCTTCGCACAAAAAATACAGTATCATGGATGTATCATTGGAGAGAGGAGGTAGAAAACAAGAAGCGTGGTCGTCCCCACTCACCTCCCCTCCTCTCCTCTCCTTGCTGGGTTGGGTGGTAGGGCAGCGGCGGTTGCCCACCGTGGACGGCAGCCACGTCCGTCTCATCCCCGCAAAAAAGAATAGTTTTTTTCTTTCGGTGCCACCTCCCTTCCTTCCTTCTCCCCGTGGACTCCTCCCCCCCTCTCTCCCTCCACTCCACCCTACCGGAGCCCCAGCCGAGGGAGAGCGATAGATACTTTGCTTTCCCCTCCCCCCATCCCTTCCCTCTCTCCCAGGCCAGGTCTCCCGGGGAATCCAGCCAGGGCAGCACCCGGAGTCCGTCCGTCCGTCAAGAAACTCCAAGACCACTCATCAAGGGCGATGCCGCCGCGGCGGCCCAACACCGGCGGGGCCGGGGGCGGGGGCACCTCCTCGGCCGCGCCCCCACCCCCGCCGTCGCGCAAGGTCCCGCTCCGCTCGCTGCTCCGGGCGGCCTCGGTGGCCTGCGGGGTGCAGTTCGGGTGGGCGCTGCAGCTCTCGCTGCTGACCCCCTACGTGCAGGAGCTGGGCATCCCGCACGCCTTCGCCAGCCTGGTCTGGCTCTGCGGCCCGCTGTCGGGGCTCCTGGTGCAGCCGCTGGTGGGCCACCTGTCGGACCGCATCGCGCCGGCCAACTCGCCGCTCGGCCGGCGCCGGCCCTTCATCGCCGCGGGCGCCGCCTCCATCGCCTTCTCCGTGCTCACCGTCGGCTTCTCCGCCGACCTGGGCCGCCTCTTCGGGGACGACATCGTGCCCGGGTCCACCCGGTTCGGGGCCATCATCGTCTACCTCATCGGATTCTGGCTGCTGGACGTCGGCAACAACGCCACGCAGGGGCCATGCCGCGCCTTCCTCGCCGACCTCACAGGTGCTAAATCCTGCCGATTTCAACTTCAATTCCTCTGCTTTGCTCCCTTGCTTGCTGCTTTAGCAAAGGCGAATTCGATTCGATTCTGCCCGATTGCTGCTGAGCATTCAGTTCGATTCTACACCTGTACTGGAGCACATACTACATGGTTCTTGTAGCTTCACAATGGGGAATAAATTCCCCAGGCTGATTTCCTGATTGATTGATTGATTGATAATTGGGATTGGCAATTCCTGCTAACCATTTTTATTGTACTACTTATTTATTTTGTGTGGCCGGAAGATTGCATTGCACTTGCACTTGCACTTGCACTTGCACACGAGAGAGAGAGAGAGAGAGAGAGAGAGAGAGAGAGAGAGAGAGAGAGATTGGAGAAGATCAATGTCGCTTTCCGCTTTAGGCCCAGAAAAAAGATTCTTGCTCGGTTGGTCGGCTTTGGCCTCTCAATTCCATTTTCTTCTTCTTCTGCTTCACATCACATTATTGAGTACTATTGACACCCAGCTGCCCTGTTTGTTACTACCAGCACACACTAGACTAGACAACAGACCAGACCCTGGACTGGGGTGGGGGTGACCAAACCAAATACTATAAGCTGCTGATGCCACACTAACAATGGGGACGTGGCACTCCATTACAGCGATGCAAACCTTTCAATAATCAGGGACGGTTGGTACAAATGTCGCCACCAAGCCTTGTCCTTTATCTATCCATGTATATTCTTTCATTCATTCATTCATTCATTCATGTGTGCGATGGAGGATCAATGATGAACAAGTGTGCCCGGCGGGTCGCTTTCGCCGCCGGATCCGGCCAGTGCCGACCTGAGCAGCAGAGAGATTTTTAAGCATTGCCACTAGACTCTTTGGTCCCTAATAACTGTTGCCAGATCTCAGAATCTTAGGAGACCCAAAGGCATCTTTGTTAACAGCCAGGTATTCTCTCAGAGGGGCCCCTGCCTGCCTGCTGCCCTTGCTTCATCATTGATTGCCTGCCTTGTTTTGTGCCTTGACACTGCTGTCTGTGCTCCCTTCACACTTGCCTTCGTCACGTGCACGAAAACATTACGCTCATGGATGAGATGAGGGGATGATGTGCTTGTTGTGGTAGCCACACACACACACACACACATTTCTGTCTTATATGTAATATATCTGAATTTATTAATATTAATTATACTTCCCTATTCACAACATTTATTTATATATATATATATATATATAGCCGGCGTTGCTGTCTTCTGTTTTGAGTTTTGCCAATCGAGTCTGGCTGCCCGTTGCACATTGCGATGGAGGGTTGTTGATGATGATCAGCAAGTGTGCGGGAAGCTACGATCAGCGCGTCGCTTTCGCTCCCGGATCAGGCCAATGCAATGCCGACCAGCTTGGGAGGGAGACAGATATTTAAGCATTGCATTGCCGGATTTCGAATCATACGATGGGATGGCATCTTTTCTTTTCTTTTCTTCTGTTTTGTCAGCTCTCAACGGGAGGGTCCCCTACATGTTTGTTTTATCGATAATTGATTTCCTGCCTTACCAACGCTCTGTGGTGGCCGTGGTCTCCCAGTTGCCTGCCTGTCACTCTCCTCGCGTGTCGTTAATGCGGTGCGAGAAAATGTTTACACTGGTGAGATGGGGGTGATGTGCTTTTTTCATGGCCACACAAATTTCTGTGTCGTGGCCAACACAAATGATCTGAATTTATTCTCTACTAAGAATATATAGCCATCACTGCTTTCTGGTTTGACAATTGAGTTCGGCTGACACAAACTTTATTACAAAATCATTATTTCTGTGTCGTAGCCACACAAATGATCTGAATTTATTGATTTATTATCTATTCAGATGCTATGGCCATCGCTGGTATCTTGTGCTTTGACAATCGAGTTCAGCTGACACAATCTTTATTACACACGTTTTGAGCTTTCTCACCGAAAATCTGATTGGGGCCCATTTGCCTGTACAATTAGATGCACCCTCCTCGAACTCTCTCTGTTATATGCTAGTAGTATAGTGCTACTTAGTCTCAGCTTAGATCCATTTCCGCAGGATTAGGAAAAATGTTAAATTGTTGTACCCACCCCTTTATGTCGAACGTAAATCACAACTCATTTCTGACCTACCCCTTTATGTCGTTTGCAGAGAATGACCCGAGGAGGACCCGGATTGCCAACGCCTACTTCTCGCTCTTCATGGCCCTGGGGAACATACTCGGGTACGCCACCGGGGCATACAACGGTTGGTACAAGATATTCCCGTTCACTATCACCGAGTCCTGCACTGTCAGCTGCGCAAACCTCAAGTCCGCGTTCCTGCTCGACATCATCATCCTAGCGATTACGACGTACGTTAGCGTCGTGACGGTGCAGGACAATCCTACTTTCGGAAGCGATGAGGCGGCACCTCCAAGCAGCCACGAGGAGGAGGCTTTCCTCTTTGAGCTTTTCGGGTCATTCAAGTACTTCACGATGCCTGTTTGGATGGTCTTGATCGTCACTTCGCTTACTTGGATCGGGTGGTTCCCTTTCATCCTCTTTGACACCGACTGGATGGGCCGAGAGATCTATCGGGGAAGCCCGGAAATCGTCGCCGACACCCAAAAGTATCATGACGGTGTGAGAATGGGCTCTTTTGGTCTCATGCTCAACTCGGTCGTTCTTGGGATCACGTCTATTGGAATGGAGAAGTTGTGTAGGAAGTGGGGAGCTGGACTTGTATGGGGTGTCTCCAATATCATCATGGCTCTGTGCTTCGTGGCGATGCTTATTATAACATACGTTGCGCAAAACCTGGATTATGGACCTAGTGGAGCACCTCCAACCGGCATTGTCGCCGCTTCCCTCATTGTGTTCACAATCCTAGGAGCACCTCTGTCGGTCAGTAACAGAACTATTTTTTCTGGCACCAATGTAGTTTTCTTTCCCTCAAATACATGTTATACGCGTGGTATTGATGATACTTTTATTTTTGCCGTTGCAGGTCACGTACAGTATACCATATGCGATGGCTGCAAGTCGTGTTGAAAATCTTGGGCTAGGCCAAGGTAATTTTGCTTTTCACTAAACTGTTTGGCTGCATCATATTGGATCTGTCTTCTTAGTTCTTACATTTGTCCCTTTTCCCCCACAGGTTTAGCAATGGGCATTCTTAATTTATCTATTGTCATACCACAGGTATTTACTCCTTTTTTCTATTATGTTTCCCGTTTGGAGTATAGCTGGTGTATATGCATATTTTATATGAAAATGTATCTGATTAAGCTTCCGGCACCAAAGGAATTAAATGTAATATCCAGTTGAACCATCTTAATCATACAGCAATACTAAAAACTACTAATTCCATTGTTCTGTAGTTTGTACCAAATAACCAGGAGCATATGCATTCAAAGTTGAAATCTTATAAAAATTATTATCATTTCCTGATCTTTCCACTGGTCTGTACCTATAAACCGAGGAACCCATGTGTTGTCTCAGAAATCAGTTAGCTGAATAACATAAAAACTGGAGATCTAAAAAACTAAGCCAAACGCTCTAGACATGATCAACTTAGTTATGACCACAGTTCTCAGACAAAACATTCGAACATTCTAACGTTTCATGACCACTGCGTGCCTTATTTACCTGAAACATTTGGTCTGCAGTAATTAGCAGAGTTGAACCTGAAAACTTGAGTAGAGAAGTATAAGCATATGGTTTTTTTAGGTGAAACACAAAAGTAGAAGCATATGTTTTCCTAGGGGAAACAGAAAGTTAACTGGAAGTGACCGTGTGGTACCTGCAGATCATCGTGTCGCTGGGCGGCGGGCCATGGGACCAGCTCTTCGGCGGAGGGAACGCGCCATCCTTCTGGGTGGCTGCCGCGGCCTCCTTTGTGGGCGGGCTGGTAGCCATCCTGGGGCTCCCGCGGGCCCGGCTCGGGCCGAAGAAGAAAACCACCCAACGATGATGATTCGAGCGCGTATACAGAGACATTGTTATGTTGCAGACAAGGAAGGAAGGCAGGTTGGTCTCAAGTTGCAACCATTCATTCTTTGCACACTGGTTCCAAGACACTGGGAACGCTGCCTACACTACACTAGGCATGGGGGGTCTGTATATTGTCTTCATCAAGTTGGGTTCGGTTCAAATTCAAGGCCAAAAGTAGGAGGGCTCTGGAATTTTCCTCCATGGGCCCTAGCGTCGCCCTTTTTCCGCTTGTCGGTGTGAAACATGGTCAGTCATATGTTGTTGTATATTGGATATTTTGCCATTTTGTTGGAGATTATCAACCAATCAATAAAAGTTGCAGGGTTTTGTTTGAGATTATTGTTCATGATTTCCTTCCTTCCTTTCTTTCTTTCTTTCTTACTTACTTTGGCCTTGTTGAAAGGGAGGCCTCAGCACGCCTGTACCGAGACATAATACATCTAGCCTATAGCGTGGACATATTGGGCAGGTCTAACACTGTAGCTGCATGCAAGTTTTTTTTAATTTTTATTATTGTATTTTCACTGCTTTTGTTCAGGTTTTCTATGGTTTTCTCTTTCACTTTTACTTTTTTCTTCGGTTTTCACAGGATTTCTTAGTTTTTTTAAAAACATGTCTAATTTTTCTTACACGTTCTATCCTTTTTGTAGTGCACAGAATGAACATTTTACATACACTAGTAAGTTTGCACGTGTACCCTAAGGAAGAATTTTGCTGCCTATAAGCAAGTGTCATAATTGTTACATATGTGCCACCTTCAATCATCCCATTATTTTCCAAATTGGAATAACATTAAGTTGTGAATTAATGTCACTATATTTGATCCATGAATGCTTATTTAATAGCAGGTTATACATATACCTTCTTTTCATGCGCAATTCCAACCTCGACAAACTGATTATATGATAGTATCACAAAAGAAAATCCATTTCATCTGTTACACGAAAGACAAACCTCTCGAGTATTCGATATCAGGAAAGCAAACTGCTAGATCGAGTTCACATGAGCCACAATAACTTAAGGTTATTCTAAAGAATTAGAATCTGTGAATCCTAAAAATTAACGTGGCTTCATCAGAGATATAGCTCCAGATTGACCTGTAGTCCAAAGCAATGGCCTAAAGGGCTTGTACCTGAGCTCTTTCAACCAAGCAGTGAAATCAATCACTCATTCAATTCAGAGGTGTGTGCAAGATAGGATTATATTAATACACAAGTCAACAAAACAAAATGTCGAGCATAATGTATCTCAGATTGCATTGTGAAAACAAATATAATGTAATGTAAGTGTGTGAGCGAGGTGAAATGACACACCATGAACTCATTCTTTTTACCAAGGAGTGCATACTTTCCATAAATGGAAAATACCAAAGATTAAAATGAACATAGCTAAGCTGGTAATTCCAAGTGGTTGTTCATTATCTCCCAGTAGTTCCAGCTATACATCCGATGGTTGAAGACGCAACACACGTGAAGATCAGACAAAAAGATTCTGCAAGAGTTCTTCTAGAGTTACAACACGTGGCAGATCTGAATAAATATAAATGTATGTCAAAACATACAGTCATGTACGTAAAATGCATAAAAACAACATAAATGAATATTTAGAAGCTAGCCTTCACCTGGTGTCAGGCCGCGTATCTGCTTCATATTCCTATGCGTAAATCAATTTTTGTTACATCATAACAAACTTGCTTCCTCGGTTTACATAACATATGGGCATGTAAACAAAGAAAGAAACAATATGGTGGATCAATAAAAAGTGTGAACTGTTTACCTGCATCAATAACACGATGACTAAAGTGTGTACATAAAAAAGAAACACCCTTTTCTGTACAAAATACCAAAGCTTATACTACATTAAAATCCTAGCAGATGAAACTACAGAAAAAATTGAAATTTCCCGTACACTCATTTAGCTACCCAATCGTACAATGGTGCATAAGAAAACATGTAGGACAGGACCTCCAGTCAACCGCTCAAGAGCCCTCTATGTTAGAATTTCAACACTTGTTATATGCGTGTGAATGTCAAGGCACCAATGAAATACAGAGCTAAGAAAAAAAATACGTCAAAGTTGAGTGGATATAGAGCTAGACAAAAGAACCATGTGCCTTGAGAACTAATAAAGGATAAAAAAAAAGAGAAACAACTTCAACAAAATTGCCTAAGCTTTGGCTAATACTCCCTCCGTTCCAAAATAGATGACTCAACTTTGTACTAAAATAACATGGCATGTTAAAATGAGTGAATTGTACGTATAGTCCACTGTGGATTCCAACAAACAACTTCTCCTTACCTCTATACTGTTACTGTCATGTCAAAGCACATTTCTGAATGACCTCGTCTTGCATCTCATACTCCCTCCATCCGGAATTAATTGTCGCATAAATGGATTTATCTAGACGTATGTATTTTAGTTGGATATACATCCATTTCTATGCATTTCGGACGGAGGGAGTATTATACTGAACTGTAAGCAAGACCACTTGATAAATGTACTATCCAAATCTGCGAGCAAAGAGAGAAGATAAAAAAGCATTCCCATATGGTCGTACGTAGTGCCTGATTACAGTAATAACATCCTTAACAACTAAGACTGTCTGTTGAGTTGCATTGCATGCATCATAGTTGGGCCAGCCAGCCAGCCGCCGAGTTGCTTCATTCCTGAACCATTACAGCGACGCTTCAGGCCTGTCTTGAATTGCACCACATCAAATGTGGTTCCTTCCTCAAGGCTGAATGCACAAGACAACAAAGGAATGGTTAATTCCCTCCGTACCAGCAGAAAAATGGCAAACATAATGGTTGGACAATCCATTACAGTAGAGCGACGCTTCAGGCCAGTCTTGAACTGCACAAGATCAAATGCGCCGCTCTGTCCATATTTTGCCTGGCATCTAAGATGTAGATGATTCCAACCGGTGGGATTCCGATGGATGAATGGAAAAGAGGCATGATAGGATAGCTACATTGCACGAAAAACTGGGAACGATTCCCTGATGGTGACAGAGAAGCACCCGAATGGCTATTTTTTTCAGCTGCTTGATGTGTGTACAAAATCAGTGAAATCACATTGGTAATGAAACTTAACTGCTGAATGTACATTCAAATAACTGAAGGAAGATTCTTTTAAAACTCTAGTACTCCCTCCGTTCACTTTTATAAGGCTCTGTACATGTTTAAGACAGTGTGCAAAACAGCACAATTTCACTTGTCTGAAACGACTTATAAAAGTGAACGGAGGGAGTAACAAGCTTTGCTTCGGCTGGCTTCAGTTTTATCAACAATCAATATCTCACACATGAAGAAAAAATTCAAATGTGAAGCAGCACGTCATTGAAAAAACAAAGGTGAAGGAAAGAAAGCAGAGATGAAAGAACCCTGGCCGGAGGCTGCGTGTTTGAAGGCGGCTCGTACCCGACTGTCCGAGATGAGGGGGAGATGTGTACAGAGGGCGTTTTAGGCGGCGTCCCCAACGGCACGCAAGGCGGTTTAGGCAGCTGCGTCCCCGACGGCCGGCCAGGCGGCGTCCCGACGGATGGCGGACCAGGCGATGTCCCTGACGGACAACGGACCAGGGGTTGTAGGAGGCGGCGTCCCCAACGGCACGCAAGGCGGTTTACGCAGCTGCGTCCCCGACGGCCGGCCAGGCGGCGTCCCCGACGGATAGCGGACCAGGCGGTGTCCCTGACGGACAACGGACCA